GGGTGGCTGCGCTTCGCTGCAGCTGGCCAGGGCACGGCTTCAGGCCTGGAGCACGCTGCGACAGCAGGAGCCCTAAACAGCACGCAAAACCCGCAGCTCTCTTCACACTTCTAACTCGGCCTGTTTTCCACATTACCTGCAAAACACTTTGAAAGAAACTCCAGGCAGGTGCTGAGCACCTGAACCCAGCTTGCACATATTGCTCCCCGGAACTGCACGACCACCTCTGAGCAGAGAAAACCTATCAACATGCTTCAGTTCAACACTTCCAGCCACAATTCCCCACATCTGGTGGCTTGGATTGAAAGAGAGGGTCAAAGCTGACTTCAATAGGCTATAGAAATCCAATTAATCATGCCAGCCTAATTGACCTGACTCAGTCTCAGCCACACACACAGGTACCCTACAAAACCCACAGGACAAAGTGGAGGTCACTCCACAGCGGGAGGGAGACGCAAAGACGAAAGTTCTCGAAGGCCATCCATCTTCCCTACTTGCAGAAGTGGGGAAAACTAAACTAAACAAAACTAAACTAAAAACAACAGCCCTCAAAAAAGAAAAAAAAAAGGGGGGAATGGGAATCACAATCTTGATCTTTCCAGTATCTGACATTTTGCACAAAGACTTCAGGCAGGCTGTACCAAGTCGGTTTCTCTTTCTGATTGTACTTAGAGTCATTAGATGTATTCCCCTCCTGTGTTTTCTTGCAGATCAGGTGCAGAATAGGTACATGGTTTCTGTATCCAGCTGCTAAAAGGCAAAGGGCTGCTGATCACTCTGAAAGAGCCATCACTCTTAGTTTAAAATCATGTCAAATTTTAATTTTGCAAAAATAAGCCTTTGAATCGCCTGAGAGGAACAGAGAGATCTTTACGATAACTAATGGAAAAGTGTTTTAAAACAAATATTCACCTGATGAGTCTGCACACTAAGCGCTAACCTAGAAACTTTGAATAAGAGTGAAGCCCGCATTTATGGCTAAATTTAGGAGAAACACAAGAAGAAAACCAAATTTATAAAAACAACCATTTATTAATTGTTGCTTTTAGTGATACAGAATCTCTTTTACATGTTGCTTATCTGTAGAGTTCTACTCACACTCTCCTGAAGAAATACAACAGCATTTTTCTCAGTTAAATCAATGCAAAGCCGAGCTTCACCTTCAGGATAGTAGAGCCCTTTCTCTCAATTGCCGAAGTTCTCCTGAAAACAAACAGAAGACCACCTGTGTGTGTGTTTTAGAGAAAGAATTAAAGGCAGGTTTAAAGGAACCAGCAGGAAGAGAAGGAGGTGGGATGGCTAGGCGAGCAACTGGCCTCCTACCTGCGACCCTCTCCCAGACTGATTGCGTCCCTTCCACTGGGAAAACGCACCAAGCAGGGTCTGTAAAGCTGCGTGAGCGGGATGGTGCTTTTAGTACGGCACATCCTTCATTATTTTGATTCTCATGTAGGGGAGCAAGCTGAGCTCCCAAGACACTGAGATAAGGAATTAAACCTTGAGACAGAGAAGTAGTTGGGAAGTCTGGTGCTAACTCCAGTCAGACTTCACCGAGGTGTTTAGCAAAGCCGTGCTCCCACAGCTATACGCCGAGTTAGCTGGTGTGCACGTCTTGGGGACACGCTGGGCATGAGCTGAGCGAGGCAGGCAGGACAGGGGAGAGACACAAAGGAAGAGCCATAAATGTCCAGGCAAACATCACCGCCACCCTCACATCCTTACCCATCCACCAAGGGCCTCAATATAGTTTCTGACTTGAGAATTTCCATTAATCACTTGTATGAGTTGGTTGCAAAGCACCACAGCTGGGACTTTCTTAACAGCAGATGTTATCAATTTCACAGAAACAGCGAGAAAAGCTCTCTCGTAGCCCAGCTCAGGGTTCTGGTCCCTCCAATTCCTGCGGAGAGAGTCCCCGGCAGCCCCAAACTTCTCCATCTGCAAGCATTGAGACGGCAGTTTGAGTTTCTTTTTAAATGACAGTGTGATAAGTAAGTCTTGCCTTAAAATCCAACATTCAGTTAAATTCCTGCATTTGCTGCTCCTACCCATGACCAGAGCAGGTGACCCCACAGCCTCCCGGTGACTCCCATACAGCGTCGGGCACTCCAGGTAGGGCTCTGCTGTGCTGGGGCTTGCACGAGCTGCAGCATGGCGGGAGGGCTGGGGAGGACAGTCGGTAGTCCAGCGGGGCTGCAGCG